TGCTCAGATTTCGGTACAGCATCTTGTGCCAAGTGCATGAAACCTAAATATCAAGTGATAACCAACATGTTCCTTTTGGTATTTGGATATGTACTGGAACTGCACTTCAAATTCCAAGGAAGTCATAAGCATCACAGTGGGTTTCTAAGCATTATGGCTTAACACAGCGGAATCATAGCTTTGGAAGGGACAGCTAGCTCAGGTGTGAAGGTATGAAAAAGTTTGGTACAGAGTTGGGCCAGGGCTGATCTGGCCCAGATTCTCTACTGTCATCTGGCAGCAGCTCTTCCTTCTGTTAGGCAACAGGCCTACTCTAGGAAGACACTGTGGTTTCCTAGAGTAAGGCTTACCTGAGACCTTCTACCTGAGCTGGAAGATGGGGAAGGAAGCACAAAATCTTGGAGTGGCTATTGCAAAGCTGAGTGGAGTTGGTAAAAAGAAAAACAGTGCTGTTGCCATCCATTTGTGGTTTTCTTTAGCATGAGATTATCCGTAAACTTGTGGATTTATTCTTTTGTGGATTGATCATTTATGGATTTACTTTCCCCATGGAGTAAATCCTCAGGGTTCCTTTAACTTTTCCTTCTCCTCATGAATTCCTGTATTTCAAGTGCTCTTATATTTCAATTCATTTATATTTTGGCTTTGCATCCGTAAATATTCAACTCTGTTCATTTTATTTGCTAATTAGAAAGATATTTCATAGTTCAGCTGTTTTATTGCTTAAAGTGAGAGTGTAAACAGTGTAAACAGTCCAAGCTTGATATAAAACCGAGAGCTGAGCTTTGACTAGGAAGACAGAGTGTGGAACTGTGGGAGGAGATGAGTTTTAGCATAGGCTGTTTTGGATGGCAAAGGCAGCTTGGAGCTTGCTGAGCAGGGATACTCAGAGATTTTATTCTGTCATGCTTTTCCAGAAAACTGAATTGCAAATGTTTCTTGGACTAATTTGCATATCCAAATACAGTTATCCTTCTATTTCTGTAGTTTGTTTCAAATTCTGGTACATTTAAAAATCCTACCAAAATGCATACTTTTGAGATAAAATCCACATTAAAAATGTGTTATTACCATTCTCCCTAATTGCTTAAAGATGCTGAAAGTTTTTCAATGCATGGTCCAACAGCTGATATTCAAAGAATGTGAACCTGATGGTGAGCTTCGTGTCGGCAAAACACGACATGGGAAAATTCTTTAGCGACACTGTTTGATCTTCTTTCCCGGTTAGTATTATGAAAGAGCATTGGGTAGTCTGTGAAAGTGTCTTGCTTCTGCACAGTGGGAAAATTTATAGCAGTTCATAAAAGAGAAGAAGGTGCTTATTAAATCATAATGGGCATTTTGCATTTCTGCTTTGGCCAAAGGTAGCTAGGCTTGAACAAACATGAAACCAACACCTCTTTGGATAGTTTGAAGTGTCTGTTTCTAGATAGAACAATATAACAACAATTCTCCATGTGTTTTGGAAATCCTTTTTCAGAACCATCCCTGACACAGTTCTTCACAAAATACCATAGGTTCATTATGGGTTACATGAAGGAATATGTCCTTTGTTCATTACAAACATGCTACCGATCAGCTTCACTGGAGGATGCCATGTTTGTGGTATGTTGAGAGATTGCTATTAAATTCAGCCTTATTCAGAAACCTATCTTAAGTTTCCCATAAAGTGCCAAATAGACATATTATGGAATGAGTTCTGTGACTGAAGCTATGGATGTCTTTTACTCTTACCAAAAGCAGCCACTGAAGGGAAGGGGGGAATTTGGGCTGGAGCCACACCATAGGGGCATCACTAGGATTCCTTATTTCAAATATTTCCATCCTGCTCCGCTGCAAAGGAAAACCTCAAGCCACAGAGAGCAGAATGTACAATCATTGATATTTTGCTCTGTATGTTCTCTCCTGAGCATCTAAACGTTGCTTGGGGTGCTGGCTGTGGGGAGATTTCCTTGGGGACTCGCTGCAGGGGAAATAGTTTAATCCTTTTTCTCCCTTGCTCAACTGCCTTCTGTACATGAAGACATTGGGATCTCCAGTCAAAGAGCTACCATTTATTTGATGTAGGCTGTGGATGTCTTCCATTTTGTGGACAAAGCCTCCATCTTGTCTGGTTGAGTCGAAAAGCCTGGCTCAACAGAGAAGATGGACCAAGGTGCCTTGTAACATCAACAGCAATTAATAAGCGGGTGTTTGCTATCAGAGAGCACAGCAAGGCCTGCTTTCCAAGACCCAACTAGCTTATGCTCCTGTAAGAATCTGCCAGCTCAATAAGAAGCCAGTGTGATGTAGTGGTTATGAGCATGGGACTGGGACTCAGACGATCTGGGTTCTAGTCCCTGCTCAGCCATGCAGCCAACTGGGTGACTCTGGGCCAGCCACAGACTCTCAGTCCAACCTACCTCACAGGGTTGTTGTTGTGGGGATAAGATGGAGGAGGAGAATGATGTAAGCTGCCTTGAGCCCTTTGTAGGAAAAAGGCAGGATATAAATTGAAATAATAAATAAATAAATAAGTTCCTTAGCTACAGCTGGATTTGCCAGGGTGAGAAGCTTTCAGGTTGTTTTGATTGCAAGGCTTCATGGTCAGCAGCAAAGAGTGTATACCTGTGCACAGTAAATAGCCTTCTTCCTTGGAAGTAAAGATAGGCCTGGCATATTGCTTTCCTTGGGATTCCAAAAAACCTCAAGCCTGCAGCTGGGGCACTACTTTTGGTCATCAGCCCTCTCAGTGAAGCTTAAATATTCCAGCTGGGTAAGCCTTCCTTCATAAATAGGCCTTTCAGCTCTCCGGTTATTTAGTTCTTGTTTTGCATTTCCTCTGCTGCTGCTATGTAGCTTTAAAAGATTTAGTAAGATGAGCAAAATATTTGTATGTGTGCATGAAAATAATGTTTTGGCACTAGGAAATCATGCTGCCTATTCTTATCTGCTCAGGAGCAGTAAATCCCAGATCTAGCTGGCTGGGTAGATGTTGGGCGTGAAACTGAAAGTATATGTCAGTTGGTCTCAGGCTGTTGATCTGGTATGACTGGTTCTTCCCAGAAAACATTAGGTAATTTACTCAAGGTCTTTTGGAACCTTTCTTATGCAACTCGAGGCTTTGGTCACCCGCTGGTCTTGACATGCCCGGAGAAAGATTTGGCTCATGGAAATAGATTTTGTTATAGACAACCTAAAAATATGCTTCCATGGAACCCTGCCAGTGCTGAGTGGTTTCATTCGCAGTCACAAAGCGGAAGAACCAAAATGGCATCTGTCTTGTCCATGCCTGCTTTGTGAAGTTGGGCCAGTTCATAGCAGTTCCTGCCTTCAGGCCTACGGATGGAGCAGAGGGAAATGAAAAGGGTGTCTATGTTCTGGTTATCGAAGAGGGAACACTCCCAGTCAAAATGAGAGAGGTTTCTTTTAGCTGGAGGAAGTCATTGCCATTTTCTCTCCGGCAAAGTCATACTCTCAATGCTGTTAATATTTTTACAAAGGTCCTCCAGTTTTCAAGACAGCTCTGGTCTAAAGTTTTAATTAATGCAGTCTTGGAGGAAGAGGTTTTGACAGAGGAGCAGGCTTCCTCCAAAGTGGTGTGCTCCTCTTCACTAGAGACAATGCTGCATCAGGCACTGCAGATCCAGCACTCGGACAGGGGTCAGGGATGGGTGGTGCCCACGTTGTCTTCAGCTCCCAAATTCTCAATGGATTCCTTTTCACACACCATGGGATTTTTACCCTCCTACTTCCCTGTGGATTCAGGTATAAGGAACCCCAGTGTACAGCAAGGTTGGCATCCACTTGGGAATGGGTGCCCCACCAGTGGGATGCTCACACTTGTGGACCCTGTAGGGCTAAGTTCCCTATCTTGCGGAAGCCTGCCAAAACCCTTCTACATCTGACAGTCCTGCTGTGGTGTTCTTCTGTTTGGTGCTTTCAGTGGTATTCCAAAGTATTTAGAGGGCTTATATGCCCATGGTTCAGAATGCTTCCTTTGGAATGTCTTTACTCTTACTATATGGATATAAAACACTCGAGGAACCCACTGGGTGGAGACATGGATAATTTTATTTATTTATGCGTTAAATTTCTAGCCCGCCCCATTAGCCACATATATAAATTACATATACATGCAATGTATGAAGAAAGTATTCTCACAGTTTATTGCTTGATTTCTTGCATTACGGTGACTAGCCCCAGGCTTTCTGAAATGGAGTTACACCTTAGCAAACAGCAAGAAGGGAGAGATTGCTGGCGATTTATTAACTGAAAAGAGCACCATTCCTTGTTCTTTGGGCACAGGGCCCATTGCCAATTTACCTCCAGTTGGCCTGCACTTGCCACGACTCTGCTTAAAACCTTGCTCATGTTGACTCTCTTAGCCCATCATGAGCTCCCTGAGTCCCATGTTTCACCATGCATAGCATTTGACCTTTGGGAAACCACTGAAAATAAATAAAGTGCTATGCAGATCTCTAAAAGCCTGGTGCCAATTTCAGCTGTCCTTAAACACCAATATGGTTCAAATGAGCCTTTCTTGGTAAGAGGTGTTTGCAATTGTGTTGCTATTTCTACCCTGGTTAGGAAGTGCTTGATGGAAATTTACAGGAGAAACTTCTTACTTGAGTCCTCTGAACTGCTTATTTTGGCTGATTTTGAATAGATGTTTTGTCTGTATTTGAAAAAAAAAAACAAAATTTGTAACAGGGTTTCATCAGCCACCTCATACACAGGTAAGGTGAATGAGTCCTCTCAAGTTCTAGCTGCTTTTCAGAAGTATTGCCTGTTAACTTGGTTTTAAAATAATATTCTTTGTTCCTGGAAGATGCTTTCCAGAAAATTCAGAATGCATATCTTGTTTTTTTATACAAATCCTACAAATCCTCAACAACCTCTTTCATGCCCCTTTTATTTTTTAGATCAAACTGTTTGTGCAAAACTTCTGACCTCTCAGACCTACACGCTCCTTTGTTGATAAGTTGCTATTTCTAAAGTCCAGGTACTAGGGACAGGAATAAGTAAATAATATTTATTTATCTTGTGTTTTTTAAAGAAGTAGGTGCCAAGAGAAGATGACAATGATTTGCATTTGTATTAAATTAAATTACAAACAGTTTGGATAGCAACATGTAAATAATACTGAGGAAAAAAGTTTTAAGCCCCACCAAGAGATGTTTACAAGAAATAGAACTCTTTTAATTAGCTAGTAAGTCTTCTATGGTTTTTCCTGTATATAAGTGCTTCTTTTCTTCAATGAGTGAAGTCACACCTGCCTCTTGATCTCAGCGGTATGTGTGGAAACTACCTGTCCATCCACAGTCTCCTGCACAATTTTCTTTAAAGTTGGGTTCGCTGAATCTGGAAGAAATTTGGAAATGCAGTAATATAGAAGAAGCACTAGATAAAGATGCTTGAGACTAAGTGACCATTCAAAGAACTATCAAAACTTTTAGGGTACTTCCAGGGATGGGGAATCTCTGGCCCACAGGGTGTCTCTGTCTCGCCTGTGAGATAGTTTTGAAGTCTTCACCTCTTTTTCCTTTGCCTTGGCAAGATAATCCCAGTTTGTGTGCTCCACTTTGGAAAACTGATGAAGGACAGTCTTGCTTCAGCACAGTAAAAGGAAATACCCTCTCATCAGAGATAAGAGAGGGTTTAAAGGCATTTAATCTTTAGATACCATGATCTTTAAATTTAAAATATTTTGATTTAAAGGTATTTAAAGACCTTTAACACTGAAAGCTATTTAAAGAGCAGGTTATTTAAACCAGGCCTGTAAAGAGAAGGAATGGAAACCCAAGGCTTATGCTTTAAAAGTCTGCATGGCTTACTCCTGAATAGACATGAATGGAACAGTGTTGTGATATCTATGCCCAAAAGATATTGTGCTAGGACTTATTTCTGAGTAGACCCACATAAAACTGAAATTTGTTCACATGCTAGAAAAATCTGAGCATAGCACATGTCGATGTGTTTCTGACTATTGAAATATAAGACATTATGTCGTGGGTAGCTTTTTTGTCAAATTCTGTATACAAGTCTGTCCAACAGACAGCCATGAGGCATAGTTCTAAATAATTGGGTACCAGTCTCAGCTTCCCTTCACATATATCAATCTTGTTCCTGACTGGAGCCCTGCCCCAAATTAATTGTATTTGGGGTACAGTGAACTTTGACATATATCTTAAGGTACCTGTGGGTATTCAAGGCACAAATAGAAATTAGAATAGATGTCCCTTCCCATCAGAGTTTCACAGGGAAACAGGAATCTCAAAAGCAGAATTCTGGCTGATGACTGGCTTGAGGGGTTTCCCTTACCCCTGTATAGTATGTGCTCCCCTCAAGGACTTTTATTTGAATTAAGTGGAATGTGATGCTGGAATATGAAACTGGAACTCATGGTCACCTACCTCATATTCAGAGCTCTTGTTCAGATGGCCTAATCTATTTAAAGCAACAGTAAGCAATGCGTGGCCTGTGGATTGCATGCCCCCCCGCTCCCCACCCATGCATGGCCAAAATTTGCAGTGGCAAAAAAATCACCAAGTTGTCATTAGCAATTAGTGACAAAGTGCTGCAGAATCCTGCAATGGCCCATTTTAGCTTGCTTTCGAGCTAGATTTGGCTCCTGTGCCATTCCATAGTAGTTCACGGCAAAAAAACTAATAACAAATCAATGATTTTTTCAGGGGGAGGTCTCTGATGCTGAATTTTGCAGTGTGACAGCAACAGCACAAGTGTGGCCTGTAGGGGGCAGAGGGAGAAATACCCCCAGGCCTCCCAAAGTTGCCCACCCCCAATTGAGCCGAGCCATAAATTGTCCAACTGTGCCTTTTCCACAGACAACTATTTTACACATTTGTGTTGATAAACAGAATGCTAAAGAACATGAGGAGTATAAGAGCATGAGACGAGCCCTGCCGGATCAGACCAAAGGCCTATCTAGTCCCTCATCCTTTTCTCACAATGGCCGCCAGAAGTTTACAGGGAGCCTAGAAGGAGAGCATCAGGATGCCCTCATCCACTGTTTGCAAGTCAGAGACCGCCATCACAACCTGGCAGCCATTTTTGCTGTCAAGATTTGGTGCCATGGAAGGATGAAGCCTGGGGCTAGTGCTGTGTGAGGACTCCAGTTTGGGGTTGGGAAGCCACTGGACTCCAGCCCACTTTTGCTCTGCCCTAAGTCCACATGCTGCCTCTTATACTGGAGGTAGCATATAGTCCTCGTGACTGTTCGCCATCAAAAGCCTTATCCTCTTCGAATTTCATTCCCATTTACAGCAGGCCTTTTCTGCAAAAACCGAGGACTCTTACCTCTAAAGTTTGACCTGGAGTCTGTCATCCTGTGAGATGAGAAAAGTAAAGGCAACATGAATATGCTTCTAAAAATAATGTATTAAACCAACTTTAATATGTTTACTAATATTTCTAAGGTGGTTGCTCCTTTAGAAGTGTCCAAGGAAAGCCTCTTCTTATTTTTCCTTTTACCCCATGTGTGTTCTAGAAGACTTATTTACTGAACACAGAGAAGTAGCTTGCTAACATGTATAGAAACAAGGACCCTGAATAATAGCTTTTCTACATCTGTGATGCCTGCATGTGTGTGTCAGCAAGATGGGTTGCATGTATAATGCCTTCTGTCATCTGAAGGGGTAGAATCTGGTATGTAGATGTTTCATGCCATCTAAAAGGAACCCTAAATGCTGCATTCATTTTTTTCAGGAAAGTGTACTGCTATACTTTGGCCCAATGCCTGTTTTTAGATTTGTTCATTCAACTAGCCTCTGTGCACTTCCACTGCATAAAGAAAATACCCCTAACAAACAAATTCCAGACACAGATTTCCTCTTCCCATGTTTGCCCCAGAGGATAACTTTGCCTTACCCATCAATGTTTCCTTCGAGAAGCTGGCGATAAGTAGAAATCTCCTTCTCCAGGCGCACTTTTATTCCTAGAAGAACTTTGTACTGGTTATTTTGAGACCTGATGTCATTACGCAATTCACTGAGTTCTTCTTCACATTTGGAGATTAAGTTTTGGATGCTTTGAAGCTGCAAGGCGTAGCGAGACTTGGTTTCATCCAAGTTGTTTTCTAGGGCAAATTTCTGAAATAGCAAAAAAGGACCCTGTATAGTGACTGTACAAAGATCCAGTAAAATGCAGTTACTGTATTTACATGTGGATTTGTGAATTACAGCCTCTATCTATCTGCAATGGTAGGAATCACATCTCTGATTAATGCGCACATGTATTTTATATTGGGGAGAGTTAATGATATTCCCATTCCTACTCCAAAGAAGTTCAGTACAGTTTATTGCCATGTGAATAGGTACAGAGTTACAATCTTTGTTTTTAAAGAAGTTCAGTATGGTTTATTGCCATGTGAATAGGTACAGAAGTACAATCTTTGTTTTTTGCTTTCATTTATTTAGATACATTCTTGTGAGATTGCTGCAACCCTGGGAACTCGGAGGATTCTGAGCATCATATGCCTGGTGGGAGGAATGTGGAGAGGAAGGTCACCTCTGTACTTCCCCGCTGTGCAAAACATTTAGTTGGCCTTGGAGAAGATGGGAAGGAGTGTGAGGTGCTGCCAGGAAGCTTTGTATGTTGGTGGAGCCTCTCTCCTCTCCTCTAGAAGCCCATCTCCATCACAGAGATGGAGCCAGCACCATCTTTTTCTGTGCCAGATGTGAGGCCAGGGGAGGGTGCTCTGAGTTTGGAGTCCTAGCTCTGACCTTAGAGCAAGTTTCCAAGGTTGGAGCTGGGGCTCCAAAAAATCCTATGACTGCCTAGACTCTGACTAGAGGCCACAGGATTGCACTGCCCAAGTATTTTTGTCCAGCTCCTCAGCCAAAAAGGCTCCCAGAGCAGCTTCCATGCAATCAATAGAATGACAGTTCCTGTTCACAGCCTCGTAATCTAAAAAGACACGACACACAAGGAAAATGGATGGGATGAAAAGAGGGAGGAAAAAGTCATCTTTCAGCGGGGTTGGAAGAACATCCCTGCTCTCCCCTCTCACTTCCTTCCTTACAACCTACAGGAATGAATGAGGAGTTGTTTTTTATGAAGTGCCACGCACATCAGTGGTGGTATGATTTCATTCCTCTCCATTGTTTACTCCTCATGTGGAGAATGGCTGTGGTACAATCAATGGCAGAAAAGAGGGTGAGACGGAATTATCCAAAAGCCACATCCTTGACGATGATTAGCACTTTCAACAAGGCCTAATCCATGCCAGGGCTCCATGGTGAGAAGCACAGGCAACGGCTTTGGTGACTATGTGCAGAGTCCCTTGTCCCTCCCCACCAGCTTAATCCTAAATAGCCCGCATCCATTTAGGACTGGACAGGCAAGATTGCTGGTGACATAGGGTGGGGCTTCCAGGCAGGTTTAAACCTCAGCTTCCCTCTTGTTAGAAGCTAACCGCCATCCTGTATACAATTATTACACGAGAAATATGAACCTTAGTTATTGTGAGAATGCACGAGTTGCCATATTCATGGGGCATCTTTCATCAGTGGCCATTAGGCGCAATAGAAAGAGATTGTCCATGTGCAGAGGAAACAAACTGCCAAATCTCAAATGCAGGGAGTCCGTTGCTTTCATACCCTGCTTCTGAACTTCCTGAGACATCTGGATTGCTGCACATTGTTACATGGACCTTGCTATGCTCCTTGCTATGCTCTGCCTCTGCTTTGTATGTCCATAAGAATGTGAGAGCTCTGCTGGATCTGACCCAGGGCCATCTAGTCCAGCGTTCTGTCCCCACAGTGCCCAACCAGCTGTCCTTGTGAAACCTGCAAGCAGGGCATGATCGGAACAGAACCCTCCCATCCAAATCCCCTGATAACTGGTGCACATAGGAAGATTGCCTCTGATAGTGAAGGCAGCATATAGACCATCAGGACTAGCAGCCTTCTCCTCTATGCATTTTACAATCCCCTTTAAAAATCATCCAAGCTGGTTGCCATTACTTTATCTTGTGGAAGCAAATTTCATACTTTAAATGCTGTGTGACAAAATCCCTCATTTGAGTTGTCTAGAGTCTTTTTGAAAACAACTTCATGGGATGATCCTGGATTCTACTATTCTATAATGCCTTCATTTCGCCACACCATGCATCTTTATTTCCTTTTACTCACCCTTTTTCTAAGCTCAGCCACCCCAGATAATGACAGGTCTTTATAATGAAGCAAAATGAGTTGTCATCAAAAGAACTCAGGAGGACAAACATGGATAACCCCACTGTGTACATTCATTTACATCCATATAGGTTTGGGTGAGCCACGGGGCTCTGGACCCAATCTCTTGCAGCTCTTCTGCACAATATGAAAAGCCCTCGCCAAACCCTCATTTCAGACCTCTGGGAAGGCAGCCTTCCCCAGCAGCATGATGATGGGCAAAAAGTAAGAGGGGAAGGGCAAGCCAGGATGGACCTTGCAGGCTTTGGCCCTGCGCCTGGCCACTGCCAGCAGGAGGCCCGGCACAGCATATCCTAGAGGGAATCCAGCCCTCCACAGAAATAAAAGGTTGCCCAGCCCAGACATAAGCAGAGCTTGTGTTCTTGGCTGAAGCCAAATTTCTATTGCCTCTGTAGAGCATCAGCAGTGTCAGCTGTGGGTGCATAAGCCTAAAACCGGAGGAGGATATGGACAGATGTGTTTCAGGGTCAGAAAACCTGTTCCAGCATACGTCCTCCTGTGCCTCTGGCAGTTACCTTATTAAGCTGTGTCTGAAAATCTATTTCCAGGGTTTGCAGTGTGCGATTCAGCTCACATATTTCCTTCCGGCTGCTTTGTAGTTCATCCTGGCTGGGAACTCCTTCCAAAGAGTCACTTGCAATCTGCAAAACACAAGCAGAAGTAATAACTGTTATTGCCATGAGAAGACTCAGCCAGGCATGCTTTGAACCACCCTTTTCACTGAGTCTTGTGAGTTATAAATAAGAATTCTGCCTTTCCAGACGTGCTTACTTTCTGGACTTGCCCCCATATGCTTACTTCCTAGCCAACATTACAGTCTGTTTGGAGGGGTTGCTAAGGAGGGCAGACAAAGGCTGTATACCTGGTTGCCTCACTCTTGTCAGGTATGGGCTTCTCAACCTCACCCAGTACCATTCAATAATAATATTTTGAATAGAAAACAGATAGCAAAACCAACAAACCAAGTACTTGATTTAGGAATAAGAACAAAAGGTATATATGGTTTTGACTTCCCTGCTCTGGCTTGGCATTGGTGTTGTTAGTTGGTTACACAACCAGCCTCTTGGAATCCTCCTCTGGTTTTTCTGGGCAGAGATACTGTGGATGGCAGGACATTTTACCAAATTCTTCCAGGGGGGTTGGGAGAAATTGTCCAAAGGTTCTCATTAACAGTGGCACACAGCTTCTCTCTATTTTGATGATGATGATTTAATGATAGAATACCCCCCATTCAAAATGGAGGAGAAAGTTTAGAGAAAATTCTGCAAAGAAGCTTTCTGATTCACAGAAGCTGAGAAAAGGAAAAACCTCAGAAAGATCCCACCTGAGAAATCTCACATCAGCTCCAGTTGAAACAGCCCATAAGATCTCAGAATGTTATTAGGCTAACATAATTAGCCTTATTATCAAGTACATCTATGATAAAAGTCCCATAGATGTACTTTTACCAAAGGGATCAATCACCTTCCTTAGATAGCTGCTGTTTGAAAGCATTCTCCCGCTTCCCCTCTCATGTCCCTATGGAAGAATCCTCTTTGGAGGATGGTGGAAGTTGCCTGAGCCAAACATTGCCAAGGAACAGCCTACCTCAGGGAAGAAACAGCTCTGGGGCGTTCTGGATTCTCAGAGGAGATGGCTAAGGATGAGGATAGAGCTCTCTCTGAATGCCAAGTATCCACCTCCTCGGTGCAGGCAAGATGTGCCTACCAGAGGAATACTCATGAGTAAAGAGATGCTTGCAGTAAGACTGCCCTCATGAGTAGCCCATTTCTCCAGCAACAGTGATGGTTTGCAGATGTGCTCTGAAGGCCCTAGCTTCAGAGCATGCCATTCTAGGCAGAGAGTGCCAGAACTGGGCCTGTGTGATTGCTTCTGCCTCTCTTCAATTGCCAGTGTTTTTCTGGACCATCCAGTGCTTGGACCTTGAACTGCCTTCAGAGAAAGCCTTCGGTGCTGACCCCTTCCTAATTCCTACTGCTCCATCTTTGCACCACAGGGAACAAAATACACTCCCCCTGGGAAACCTCAGTTGTTTCAATCATCCTTTTGGAGGTCCAGTCAAGCAGGCAGGGATGTGAATTTGTATGCAGACACCAAGAAAGGTTTGTGTGTTAATAAGGTCCCATGGAGAGAGGTCTTGCTGCTCAGACCAGGAAGCATTTCATGGTTTCTTAATTATGAGCACCTAACAAGGCATTTTACCTGTTGGGAATACAGGAACAATAGGTGTGAAACAATTCCTTGGGTGCTTCAGCTTCCTGTAGTATTAAATCAGCACAGCCATGCAGCACCCTCAGATCCATTTGTAGATAAGTAATTTATCAAAGTTGTAGTCTTCTCTAACCTGCAGCCCAAGACATCTGGGGGACATCTACTCTCATCATCCCCAGCCAGCATGTGCTTGCTGGGAATTATGAAAACTGCAGTCTAACTCAGCTGGAGGAGAGTGGGGGTTGGGTACTCCAGTGCAAGTCAGGGGCGGTTTCCATCTCACTGGGCTTACAGTACCTGTTGTTGGAACCAGGCATCCAGGCTTTGGCGGTTCTTTTCAATAATTGCTTCATAATCTGCTCTGATCCCTGCCAGGATCTTTGCCAGATCTTCTTGTGGAGCTGTCTTCACCTTCACGTTCACATTTAATTCCTTGGAAGAGCCATGTGCTTGCATATCCTATACACGGTAGCATAAAGAAAAGCATCAGCATCAAAAACTGTCTCATTCTTAGATTTATACATTGCCATTTTTCCTCTTGCAAGGAACCCAAGGTGGCTCACATGAGCTGCTGCCTCCTCCCCCTCCCATTTTATCCTCACAACAGTCCTGTGAGGTAGGTTAGGCGGGGAGTGAATGACTGGCCCAAAGGCACCCACTGAGTGGGAACTAGAACTCTGTTCTCCCAGGTCCCAGTCCAACAATCTAACTGCTATACCACAATGGGGATGATGGTGTCATTTCTGGATTTGCATGCAAAATATGAAGTGCCGGCTACTTCTGAACTTGCAACTTCAGTGTTGACTAGAACCTGTTATGAGCATAAGCGCATCAACCAACAGCTGCAAAGTAAGCCCTTGTGACAAAAATACCAAAGTGCTGGGAAGACCCTTTGATGCAGGGAGGTGCTCAGAACAGTTGCCAAGAAAAAATGTACTCTGTGTGGCCCACTGCTAAAGCACATATGGGCAGGCCAGAAGCCCGGTAGGTAAGGAGAAATTGGATCGCACAAAGTGAACAGGCGTTAGGTGCACGTGCTTCAGTTCAGTTAAATGATAAACCCCTCAGTTTATCATTTGGACCTAAAGCTACCTGAGATTTCCCAGACTCCTTACAAGGCTTTGAATGAGTATAAAGAAAAGGCATTATATTTGTCTAGCACTCTATGGATTCTTTGGGAAACATCTACATCAACTGTCTCCTGGAGCTGCTCTGGGCCTTCACCTGATGGTCAGGACCAGAAGCCCATCATAGGATTTGTGGGATCAATCCTAGGCCCTGCTGGAGCTCCTGATGAGCACCACCAAGGCACCCTGGGGGAAGAGCTACTGTATATAAGAGCAAGCACTTCCCTCCATCACAAGGCTCTTCCTGTTTCCTGCTGTGTGTTTCCTGTGTCTCTTCCTGTTTCCAACCTTGCTGGCTCAGCTCAGAGCCATGGGCCGTCTTGCTTCTGCTCCTGGCACTGCTGCATTTCCTTCCTGTTGTGTCCTGCCTTGCATGCTGCCTCAGTAACGCAAGTCTACTTGCTCACTGGGGTTCGGTTCCTGCATCTTGCCTGACCCTTGCCTTGCATCCTGCCTTGGTGTGTATCCTGCCCAGTTATCCTGCCTCAAGGTACCTGCAACTTTGTCTTCTTATCTTGACCCTTGACTTGTTCACAATCATATTATTATCCTGCCCTGGTATGTCCTTCTGGCTCCAGACCCTGGCCTGTTCTGTGAGTACACTTAGACTTTGCTATTGGACTTCACTACCGGACTTTGAACTCTGTCCTGTCTCAAGTTCTGCTGCCCTGATGCTGGTCTTCTGCGTTGTTTCTTGCTGCCCACATCCCTGACACCTTGACTTAAAGGTATGAGTCAGGGCTACACAAACCCTAGAAGGTCTTCTGGTGCTCCGCTTCCTTGCTCTCTGTCACTTTTCATGAATGTTAGATTTATGTGCTTGGTTTAGGCTTGACACTGAACGCATTCAGGTGTGATTCAACAGAAGCCAGTAACAGCTTTGCTCTCAAAATTGGCATGGCAAGATAGCGGCTTTCCAAATAACCCGTATTCTGTGTGCCATTGTCACCCCTTCCTTCTCTTTAGTACAACACTGTACTGGGTCATGCAGTGCCTTTCCAAAGAGAGGCAATTCCATAGGCGAAAGTTTGGGGTAAAGGAAGTCATGGCTTGGAAATGAAATTGTTGTGCTGACAATGGAGAAGCAGATAAAGTGGATCCAGAGTGGTTCAGCATAATTAATACCTGGCTCTGTAGTTCACATTCCCACTCATTAAAAAGTGATTAAGAGCACCCTAAATCTTCGCCTGGAATGACAGCCCAGCAACATATTCTGTGCCTGCAAGGCTGATGTTGGTAGAACAGGGTTTGCAATCCTCATTTAAAGGTGATAAAACTTCTCTATATTTTTTCCAGCCTGGATCTGGAGTTGACTTAACTTCTCTCTGACAGCAAGAATATTTCCCTGCTCCCAAAAAAGCAATAAACAACCATCTTTATGTTATTTTGACTCCTTGCACAAGAGACTTAAACTATTCCAATGCCATCTGCCTATCCTTCTTGGAATCATGCATGCCCTTGCTCTTGCTGATTTATCTGATCTTAAGTCTTTTTTATTTCAAGTACTTGCATTCCATGTCACCCTTTATCCATGTTCTTGATGCCTCTTCAAATGAGAACATCAAAGTAATTCCAGTACAGACCTAGGCACTGACTGCTTTGTTCTTTTCAAACTAGCTCATCACAGATCCTGGTTTCCCTGTTAGCCTGCCCTTGAGAGTCTAAATCTAAAAATAAATAAAAGGGCAGGGCTGTACATACAGGGTTTCTCTAGCCCAAAGCCAGATTTGTGTTCCAAATAGCCCATGTTCTGCATTAGGAACAACGGAGGAAACTAAGCCACATTTTCATAGATTGTGTAAACTTGTTTCCAAGAGTAGGGTTTTTCAGATGTTGGGCAAAGTACTGAAAGGATGACATGGAGGTCTGTGGCACAACAACAAAAAAGTGGGTTCACACAACATGACAACCTGCACTCAAGGGATGTATGAGAATTCCACTTGTGGGTGAAAATGCAGCAGATTTTTCTGGTTTGACCCTGCGCTGGTGAGTGGGCCAGTATGCACAGTGAACCAAAATGCAGATTCCAGGTTTTGTTTTGTTTTATGGCAGCTATTGGCACAGTGTTGGGAGCTGGGGATCTTGAAACATGCACAAATGGTATTGTGACATATATATATTAAAGTGCACAAGTGCACACAGTGACAAATCGTTTGTCTACTGCGTAGACCCAGAGAGACGTATTCCCTTATCAGTTTCATCTTCCAAAAACACTGTTTCATTTAGCTCAGCAGAGCCATATTCTGAGTCTGTCAAGGAAGTTGTCAGTTTCTCTTTGGTGCTTCCCCAGGGAAGGTGTGTGTGTGTGTGTGGGGGGGATTGTTGGTGTGACAACAACATTTGACAAACTCCTTGACAAATTCTTTGGCAAGTAAGGAATGCAGCATTGCTGGGGCAAAGGAAGTAATGTGTGTAGAGAATAAAACTGACAAGGATATTGACTTTAGGGCTATATGGCTAGCCCTACAGGGCAGGCAGATGGACAGACTTGTGATTGTGCACACTTGTGCAAAATCAGCAATTGCGTTTTAAAAATCTGCGCAAATTTCAAGATTCCCCCCACTCAAAAAATCATGCAGATGGCAGAACCTGAAAAATGTGCAAAATATTTCTTGGATCAGGAAGAAAACTCCTGCTACAGTCTGTGACCACTTAGCAGGATAGAGAAGCTGTGGAATCTTGCTGAACTTCAGTGGAATGGAGTTCCCTGTGTCACACATTCTTTCTCAAAGGTTGTGTCTGAGATGAGTCTGCAGTGTTGTTCAAACATAGGTGGTTGTGGTATTCTTAGCACAGCCATGTTGATGAGCCATGGTTTGTTAACCACAAACAACCCATTTTGAATTGAAGCTGGATTCAGACAACAGGACAACCCGTTTTAATGGTGACCCTCACACAGCCCACGCTCAACCCTAGAATGTGGGTTATCATGTTTTGTGAATCCAGTCACTAACTAGAAAAGCTTTGGATGCTCTCCGGATCTTGCACATACCAACCATATTCCCCGCCATTGAGGCATTGCTTAGATTAGGCCCAACATATTATATTAGCAGGGTACATTTAGAATAGGAGGCAGACTGTAGCTTCTAAATGAAGCTAAATAATAACTACAGCTGCATTACCTTCTACTGAAAGATGAAAAGATACCAAGGTTAGGTGAGAGGCATCTTGTGGAAAATTTGACCATTGGAAGCACAGTTAAACTGAGCTTAAGAATGCTGGATCCTTCCTGAAATAAAACTTGAAACCTTTGCTGGTGAGAAAGGCAATATCCTTTTGTAAACATGAAATGGTGCCTTTCATCTCTCTCAATGGTTTCAGAAAAATATGTGTGCATGTTTCCATGCAAAAACCTTAAGGCTTCTGTGTAATTACTGCAGGAGCAGCTGAATGAAAACAGCTAATTACTATGTAAACAACCTAATTATTAGACTTGCTGAACTGGTTTGGTAAAACTCCTGTCATTGCAATATTACTCTGTGGTTTACATCGTGCTGGTGTTCTGAGGAAGCTCACAGAATGAGGCTCAAATCAGGCAGTATTCAGAGAACCTAAAAACTCAGATATACTGTGCTGATTGCTTAGTTACAGAGGACCACAGCAATGCATCTCTTCCAGAGGATTTTCTAAGCACAAAACAATAGCAGTGAAACACAAGCAGTGAAACACAAGCAGTGAAACACAATTGTTGTAAGCCGCCCCGATTGTTGTAAGCCGCCCCGAGGCATAAAAATGTTTTAATAAATAAATAAATAAATCTGGCACTTCACTCTCTATATATTTATTATATCCCATTTCATTTAGCAGTGAGATCTACCAGTAGGCAAAAAAAATTATGGGACTTTACCCAATTCATGCTTCATGAACCAATAAGCAAAACCAAACGTGCTGGACCCTGAAATTCTCCCTTTTCCAAATTTTACCTAGCAGTTCTTCACTCAGAATAACACATGCATTAGGGGGAAATCCATATGACTTGTGTTCCATTTCTTGGTAGGAAGCTGGTGTGCAGATCAAATCAATACACTAACAGCAAGCACATCTTGGATACAAATGTGCATAATATTGAAAATTGGAAATGCATTGTCATAGGTGACAAAACTTACAAGAATGCATACATGCACGAAAATGCATATGGTAGGGAAAGTGTGCATAAAAAGGCATATAGCAGAGGTGCACAGGAAAACGCATGTGAATTTTCATGCAGGTTTGAAGCCATACACTGATGTGGAATTAGTGAGCAAGTCTGAAAATGAACTGAGCATAAATGCTGATGGAAGATTTTCCCAGTCCTATCTCCTACTAAAAACCTCAACATGCCCATGGTGGCATTCCAGCTGAAATGCTGAAACCAGATATTGTTACCTCTGAAAGAACCAGCAATAGTTTTTTCCTGTGCCCCCTGTGCTAAAAGGGCACTGATGATAGATTTAAAATGTGGGAAATTTCGCTGCGTTCTTCCCAGTGATAATGGCTGACATGAAGGTCTTCAAAGAAGGTCTTCTTGAAGTATGTGACACTGTCTGGACTCTTTCCGAACGCTGAGGATAGATTATGTGACAGCCATTCCATTCAACAGAATCTTGTGGACTTCCCATTGGCTACTCTAGGGAATAGGTTCCTGGACTAGGTCAGCCTTTGGTTCAATCCTGTATGGCCTTCCTTATGTTTTGTGGTTATGCAAATACAGCTCCTGATCACTGAAGTGTGATGCAAGAAGGCACCCAAGTAATGGCGGGACCTTGTACTGAAGAAGTGCTGTGCAGGACTATAGAGGCAGAGTGAACCAGTGTGGTGTGAGAGCCAGTGTTGTGCAGCGGTTATGATATTGGAGTGGGACTTAGGAAATCTAGGTGCTTGTCCCCACTTCTGAATGAAACTCACTACGTCTCAGCCTAACCTACCTTACAGGGTTGTGGTGAGCATAAAATGGAGAGGAAGGGAACTATGGAAGCTGCCTTGAGCTCCTTGCAAGAGGAAAAAAGGCAGGAGATAAAGGGAATTAATAAATAAATAAATTCAGTGTGATAACAAGGTTAATTTCGGTCAATTAAAAGCTAGGTGTTTGCTCAACTCTGGGTAATGAGTCTTACAAAGCTTAACTGTTCTCCACTTTGGACATTTAAGCTGACATTTTCCTTCATTGGTGACTGAACTATCAAATGGCTTATGATTGGAGCCTCAGAGGAAACTTGGGGCTTTGATCAACCACAAACTGTAATTTCACATATTAAAGTGAAATAGCTAGCTAGCTAGATAGATAGATAGATAGGGTCAGTCCTTGCTGGCTGTTTGACCTGGACAAGAGTCTGCATTTGGTGTAAGCAGGAGACCCTGATCGTACTCACTCCTGTGTGCTGGATCCCAGCATGTTCAAAATAATACTGAAAGGAGTTAAACTGAAGAGAACTCGTGGGCCAGGTGTCTCAAAAGGCACAAGAGTTAAATAAAATCCAAGCTAGGACCTCATGCTAGACACCTCTGGAAGTGTGTCCTACCTCCTCATGTTCTTTCTTCTGGAGTATGTTGTCTTCTCGCAGAGCTTCAATCTCCATTTCCAGGTCTGTTATTATGATTGTCATGTTGTCGAGTTCCTTACGAATGTTCTCAACCTCATTCTGCACATTTTGCCGAAAAGCTTTTTCTGCCTCGTACCTTAGTCAAGGAAAACTAAATGAGCAATATACGTAGTTGCGGGGGGAGGATAAAGCAATCCCATATCATGAGTGATTAGGCATTTTGCAGCTTACCTCCTGTTTTCCTTCTCCTACCTTCGTGCTATAACAACAAAACAATATAGGTAGAAAGACATAACTGGAACATGCGGTCCAATTTCCTGCTCAAGTGCATTCATGCTATCCAGTGAAGTGCAACTCGATCAAGGAGAAGTTGATTGATCAGCCAGTATTGGTGCTTGCCAGACCAATCTTGGCTTGAAGGGGTTGCTTCTAAACCCAGTTTAGTTAGAGGGAAAACTCATGCGCAAGATGATTTGATGGAGGAGCTACTGTCTATGTAACCTGAGGTATATTACGAAAATGTGACTCGCGCTACACGTTACAGATTACCTGCCAGAATGATGATGTGAAACAGTTCCCTTGCATTAATGTGTTTATGAGCACATGAAATGAAGTCTCTTAAGACAGATGGATTTTCCAGTGTTTAGGACGGACATTATAGAATGGACCTGGAGGACTTACAGGGGAAGAAAATAGTTGAATGGTAGAGGACATGTTTTGCATGCAGAAGATCCATGGTGGAATCACCAGTGCCTGCTTTCAAAACGATTAGGTAGAGGTAGCGTGCCCCATGAACTCTGCAGCTCAGTGGTAAAGCACACGCTGTGCATGCAGAAGATGCCTTCAGTCCCTAGCACCTTGACAGAGGGCTGGGAAAGATCCTGGTCTGCAGCCCTGGAGAATCATGATGGCTAGTGGAAGTACTGAGCTGGGTGAACTCCTGGTCTGGTGTGGTGTCACTCAGTTTGCTATGTTCCTTGGTGTACTGGTTCACATACACCATTTCCATTTGGGGAAGCTGGCTGCCAATGCTGTCTTGCATTTGCCAGGAACCTCGTAGATCAGGTTGAACTGTTTGCTCATTTATGAGATTGTCCTAAGGAAAATCTGGTCAGGCAAACTTTGGGACAACCTCATTAAACAACTTTAGAGTGACTCAGCTAGAAGTTGCTTGAACTCTTTTAGTCAGCATTGCTCCATGGTGAAGTGAAGCAGAAAGAGATTTGGTCAAAGTGTCAGTCTTTAAGAATGCATGGACTCTGTGCCAAACCAAATAAGATTTATGAGTCCAAGATAAGGCAAGGGACATTCCTTGAGGGTGTCTTTAACTCTTTTAAAAGCTCATTATTCTTGCAGTTTTGCCACATATAAGTCCATTCCCCCCCCCCCCCGCAGTGTGGAATAAAGGTGCACAGCTGTACAGGCCACTGCAGTAGTGCCAAACTAAGAGGGGAAACCCTCAGGAAACACATTCGGACTTGCAGCTTTGGGGTTTCCTGGATTAATTGCAGTGGTGGCAGCTGGAGGGTGGGCACTTCTTCATCTGTTTCTCCCAGTGAGAAAACTGGCTGTTTTTGTCAGATTCAGTGTTATCCATGGTGTGTGACCTTGATGTTATGGGTAATGTATTGGCTTCCCTTGATGTCTGTTTGGGAACTTCAACTTGGCCACAAATGGGACAACCTCTCTTGTAAAGTGTGGTGAATAGATTTCCCAGAGCATGACTTGAAAGCAGTGCTCCAAGATCTGCAATGCCTTTCCATTGTCTTCTGGACACCACACAGATGTCGCAGATCCGGATGCATGAAGCCCTATGTGGCCTGGCTGCTACAAACCTTTTATCCTTTTTCCCACTAAAAGTCAAAATTCAACTGATGGCCAAAAAATGATGCATGCATGTTTATTTACCTGTATGTGAGGAGTCAAGATTGTGTTTTCTTAAACATGAAAATAAATACACAGGGGAAAGAATTCAATCTGTCTCCCATTCTTTAGGCCCTCATTTTGATGGCAAACGTCACTTGAGTTCTTGCTCTATAGATAAAAGAGCAAGCCTGTGCAGGGCCAGCCATACCATTTGGTAGAGTGAAGTAGTTGCCTAGGTTACAGATGCCGAGGGCTGGCACCAGCGAGTTGGAGGTGAGAAGTGTGTGCTAAATGGTCTGCCTTGCACTAGTTTGCTGCCTTCACAGATACTGAAGGATGCTGTCTGGTATCTTAGTATCTCGTTGGCTAGTACTCAATTGCCAGCCCAGTCGGCCTTTGAACCTGGAATGGGAGGGGGTGCCATATTGTTTTTTGCTTCAGGCAGCAACATGCTTGGGCCAGTCCTGAGCATATGCTCAGCAAACGCACACATCCACATGGATCTGTCCACTTGGCCGTACTGCTGTACTCTTTTAATAGCCACCCAGAGGCTAGGGTAGCTTTTTAGCCCCAGCCAAGTGCCTTCCAGTCGGAGCAGAAATAAATAAGAACAAACAGGTTGTGTCACATGCATCGAATGTGAGAAGACTTCATTTGTAGGATCTGCTTTGTTTTTCACTAGCTCACCAACAGAAGCCAGGTGCAAGGTGGTGGTGGTGGTTGTGTGTTTGACAGAAATGCACAAATTAAGGAATAGGACGTGTTTTGCTACTCAAAAATTCATGGGCTGAACTTTTGTGTTGCTGTCTTTTTCTACTCTTTAGCCTTCTCACTTTCCGCAGCCGAATTTACAGTGATGGTGGTGGGAAGTATTTTTATTATTGCGATTATTAAATGATGGGCAGTCTGAAACTGCTGCTGATCTACTGCAAATCACCCCATGATTGACCAGTGCATCCTGACCTACCTTCAACCCACCCCTGTCCTACATATTTCCTGAGGTTTCCTTTACCCTTCAGATCACATGCTATGGCCTTGGCCTTTCCTACTTTCAGGGATGGATGGATCCAAGAAAGAACTTACTTGAGCCTGAAGTCCTCAGTTGCCATCTTCGCATTGTCAATCTGCAGAACAATGCCTGCATTGGTAACCCGTCCAGTCTGAATCTGGAAATAACAAGATAGAATTACTTTTGCTGTGGATGTAGGGTGGAAATCTCATCTCATCTGGCTACTAGTAGTGGGAGCATCTTAATTCTTAGCACATCAGATTAGGAGAATAAAAGAAGAGTCCTGTGGCATCTTAAAGACTAACCGTGCTCTTGTAATTCTTTTACACTTTACAATGTCATTCTTTTACACTTCACTAGCAAAACGATGAATACCTTCCCACAGGTTTCTGGGGAACGTATGCCAAGTACTGAGATCATCTGTTTTGTGGTTTCACCAGCTTAAGCCTTCCCCTTGAGGGCCAGGAAGCTTTAATCTCCTGAAATTCCATGGGACTCTAAAATACTCAAACATCTGGGATTGCTTCCATTTTAAATTTGGAATGAGAAATTTCAAAGCCAAATTCAAACTCACATTTTAGACATATCAAATATTTAACTCACAGTTCTAGCTTTGACTCTCTTAAAGCTGTAGGTATATTATTTTTAAATGTATTTAGCCTCAGAGGTGAGTTATCAGCTGCCAACTGCCTAAGACTAATAACATTCGACGTTACACCTTTTCATTCCCACTGCACAGTGCATTTCCCAATAAGGACAGCTGAAAAGCAGCTTTCACAGCACACTGATCTTCTTCTGAGATGCACAGCCACTGAAGAATATTTTGGGTGTGTGCTATAGAGCGTGCTTAACTCTGATCAGTACACAAGACATAATGGTGAGGTTTAATGGTGCCCCGTATGAATGGAGAGTGCACCCCACACCATGTGGCACAACCCTTCGCAATGCTCAGGAATTCTGTGGCAGATTCACAGATCTGGGGTTTATCATCTTGCATCTCCCTTGCCCCACTCTTCTTGAAGAGGAAGGAGCCATGCTGTGGTGAGGGAGATGAGTCCATGGTGTCCACCAAACTTCAAGCTAAACAGATGAAGCAGAGGATAAGGTGGGATACCCCCTGCACCAGGCTGGTGTTCCAGACTCAGTGCATCTGAGCAAGCCCCTGTTCCCTTCTCCAGCTTGGAATCTTCCAGTTAGGAAGCGGGAATATTTTCTGCTTTCCCCAAGTCTGGGAAACTTTAGGCCAGTTAGTGATTCACAACCTAACTGACTCCACAGGATTGTTGTGAGGATAAATGGACAATTTATTTTAATAAATTAAAAATTAAAAAATCCCCCTTGATCTCATGAATTCAAGAACAAGTAAGCCCCCTCATCCACCCAAATCTATTGACACTTGGAACGAGAAAGCTGAAAACTACTCCTCAACCATCAGAAGGATTCAATGCAAAATACCATTGCATATATCAACTATTGATATCACATCAACTATCAGAGGGCAAATCCTGAATCAAATGTCCTTAGCCTCCTATTACATCATGGAACAGGTGTTGAATACAGACAGTAGACTTTCAGAGAGTACTGGAAACAATTTCAGTCGAGCTTTAAACAGAGATTGGAGCACTTGGGTGATGACATTCCTCTGTTAGAGGAAAGCAGCCTTCCTTGCCTCCTTTGCTAGACTTGTTCTCTCTTTCATTGGCTTCACTTGCCTCTCAGCCTTCCTCTGCCCTTCCTCCTGCAGACTGCCAGCCTCTTCACCCACAGTTGTCAGCTCCTTCTGCCAAATGGGCAGCAAAGAAAAAGGTGGAGCTCTTTATGGACCACCTTTATATTCTAATCTAAGTTTCCAATCCTGGTTTTTTGTTTTGCTCTGGTCAGTGCTTGAAGAAAGTTCTCAGAAGCATAATCATTATCCATAGAAGGAGGGGCAACGAAGAGAAAGGGCATATGTTCAGTCTCCCTGTAATACCTGGCAGGAAACGTCTCCTGAGCAAGGGTGCTACTGATTGCCTATCTGAATCTGAAAGTGCGTTATTAGAATTTACAGGTGTGATAACCACAGAGATGTGTGTCCATCACCTCTCTCTACTTGGACAAATGCTAACTCAAGTATCAGACTAACTGTAGGCCACAATCCCCTGTACCAGGAGCATAGCCTGGGCAGCTTTCAGTTTAGTTTCAAAGCCCTCTCAGAACAAGTTCATGCCTCTGTTAGGCGTGATCTGTCCCTGCTATGGCAGTCACTGGATGGAAAGACTAACGGGCATAGCAGCAACAGAGAAGTTAGGGTGGCAGAGAGACCACAAGAAGGGGACAGCATCAAGAGAAACACAAGTGGAGGCAAAAAAGGGAACGCAGAATGATGGAGGGCAAAAGAAACGCCCCCACCCATTGCTGGCCTCTGCCCACCAAAAGATTATGTCCAAAAGAAGGAGACCTTTGGTGGTGCTGTGGGTAGTCCCATTGTTAATCGCCATTTAAAACAAAGAGGCTAGCTGACTCCTGAGCAGTTATGGATGGGACCACACAGTTTGACATGCAGTCTGAATTACAGCCTGATCTTATGCATGCTTACCGGAAACACCACCCTATGAATAAAAGGGACAGTATAGTTTTGACTGGAGAAGAAATTAGTGCTGAGAAGATGTTTCTTTAAAATTTCATGTCCTTCCACCTGTCAGAGCCAAACTGCTATGCAGACAACAGACAACACTGACGGTAGCAATTACAATGGCCCCTTGAATCAATCAGCTTTTGGCCAGATCCCTGCAACATGCCCATCCCTTTCCCACAGGTGCTTTGTTCCTGTATGAGGGGTATTATTCTCCTTCCCTGCAAAAATTTCTCACCCCATTGTTAGGTTGAACTTCCAATATATGACTGCATTTGAACAAGGCAGCTGCCGGGAAAGATGTTAAGTGAATCGTATTACATGTCCCCCACTCAAGAGATGAAGAATCTCATGTTGCCCATCTGAAAATATTTTTTTTAATCTGGTCTCTATAGACACACCTTGCATTAGAATACCCTTCTGGTTAAGAATTAAACTGGTGAGTAACTTTTTACCTTGGAGGGCATGTTTTCTGGCTTACCTGCCTTTTCTAGGAGGTAAGATTATCCAAGCAGTAAATCCTCTACACAAACATTCTCCTTTTCATGGTGACACATGTTTGCTCCTGTATTCTTGTTTGGAAGGAGAGAGGCAGTGTGTGGAATGTAAAAGCAGTGTGCAAATCAGCATATAGATAAGTGAGGCAGTATGTGTTTGCTCTGCATGACTCCATGGTGTGTAACTACCACTCACTTGTGATATGTTCACAAGTGCTGGTGAATTAGAATCACTATCCAGCATATCCACACTTGCACTGGAAGAAGGAGGGAAACGCTGCTGTAGGAACTGTTTTCAGTGGTCAAGACTGAGGATCAAATGATGGCAGCATTGTGTCTTTAAATGGGAAATGTTCCCAGACTGCCATCCTGGTAAAGAGAGGGATGCACTGGAGTTGCTGAAGAGTGGCTTGGGGGATGGAAAATGCCAGGTTTGTTGAGAAGTTAGTAAACAAGGAATGCTTGAAGCATTGGAGTGTGGAGGCAGGGGAGAACTTTCAAGGAAAAGCTCAACCCTGTGGGTTCCTCCAATTTTAGCTAAATAGTATGGATCCTACAGTCTTCTGAGATAGTGGTTAAGGGGACCACCACAAAAGATAAGGTGTGGGAGCCTCTCTGACTGACCTGTGTTTTGACCACAGGATAAGTGGAGTAGCAGGTACACTGCAGGTCTCTGTGAGGTTTTTTTTTTTTTTGGCATATTATTTTTCATTGGGAACCTAAAGCGTTCCAAAGAGGTCCTCTCCCGCTTTTTCTTGAAAGACCTCAGTAGTATCAGAGTTGGGATGACTCCTATTTGGAATGCATTCATTGAGCAATGAGAGGGAACGTTTCTGGGTAGGTAAAGGCTTTACCTCAGGGTGTTGCCAGAAGGTGCAGCGTGAAGGCCTTAAACATCTCGTAGGTTCAGAAATACAATTAACGATCTTTGCATTCCTAGTTAGGTGTGTGGCAGTTGTTGAACTGCAGTACAGGAAAAGGGCAGAGGCTCAAATCTTGGAATCACATGTTCTGGTTTGAGAGACTATCAAAAAGTTCTCAGGAATCTGGAGTCATTTTGAATAATAGATGGCTGTCAACAAAGTCACTTAGCCTAAAGCTTGTTAGCCCAAATCTGCATGTGGCTGGGAGCCAGAACAACATGCTAGTTGCTATCTCTTTGAAGAACCTACTCCACCTGTCAGTCTGTTCCTCTCCCTCCCTTGGCCTTGGCTTCCTGGAGGACCATAAGCAAAAAGGCTGAATGGCTCCAGCAGGACCACAAAGCCGCATGTTACAGGAGACAAGATACTGACTCATGCTGACACACATGTGCACTGGTGCACACATGTACATGCAAACATACACAAGGCCTTCAGCCAAGTTGAACTAAGCAAATTCCTTTCTGACTCCTAACAGTGAAAAAAAATCATCTAGAGTCACATCAGAAGGAAAGCTGGGTTATGCTGGGATAGGGTGGGGGGAATGAGAAGTCTTCAAAAATGGCCTACTTTTAGTTGTTTAATCATGCATGATGCTCCAGAGGAAACAGAAGCCACCCCCAAGCATATTTGGAATCACAGAATCACAGAGCTGAAGACCTTCCCAATAGGTCAAGTGCATCACCAAAGTAGGGCTCATAATTCATGGAACTCTGTCCCAAGCAACCCTAGGGCTTGCTCCCAGAAGGGGTTCCAGGTTGGTGTATTTCCCATCCAGTGGTCCACTGATCTGTAACCTTCACTTCTCTTGGGTAAGGACAGTATTGGCTCCAGGATTCTGAGGGCCCTTGAACCAGACACCAGTTTTGTGCCCCCCCCCCCGCATCAGTATCTCTATCTTCACACTGCCCTTTCACCAGCTGTGATCGCTCCTCATCCTCTTGCTCGCCACTGCTTCTGCTTGTGTGCTCAGCAGGCAGACAGCCAGTGAGGAAGAAGTGGTGGCATCTCCCCCTTCCCACTAGCACCACTGCTTGGACCACAGTGAGGGGCATATGAACAGGCAGGCTGCAACAGGAGGTGCTCCAAGGGGCCTCTGGCTGGGATGTGGGCCTGTTCATGCCTC